GTCGACCGCGAGCTTCTTCGCCGGCAGATCGACGACGCGTTGATCGACGAAAAGAATCGATTTCGAGAGGCGGAGGACTGTTGCGCGTTCCGGGGGATCTTGGAGAACGCGCGTTACGCGAGAAGCGTCGTCGACGCGTTGTCCGCGACGGCGAACGAACTCGTAAAGAGGGAGCGACTAGGCAAACATACGCTCACCGATTCGGACGATTCGATCGTCGCGAGGATGGCCACGAGGGGCGAAGATCTCCTCTCGGAATGGAAGTACGCGGTCGCGTTCGAGACGAATCGGGTTCGTTCGATGCTCGACTCCGTGATCGGCGTGGCCCGAATCGACTTGCTCTTTCTGTTGGACACCGCGCAGCGGACTTTCGGCGATATTCACGACGCCATCGTGGGCAGGTTGCGCGCGTTCTTTCGCCGGAATCGGTAACGAGTGTCCGGCCAAAGATCGCTGACCCGTTCGCGTTCGCAGGTATCAACGAGAGGCGAATAGCGTGGCCGAGATGGGAACCGTGTTCCGTTTCGCGATCGAGGAGGGCAGAATAATCGAGAACGAGATACTGTTGGAGGACGGCGAATTCGTGGTTAGGTCGAACGTGTTCGTGACCAAGGTCGTACCGACGAAACGGCAGAGCGTCGCCGCGAGGGAACCGATGTCCAGTTGGCGGTTTCGCGTGATCGATCTCGCTCGACTGACCGAGATCTTCCAGAGAGTCGCGCCCTACGGAACCGTGTCGGAGCGCGCGTTCGTCTACATTCTGCAGGACCTGGTCGGCCACGGCCGCGAGGAAGGAGAATCGATGCTGCTTCCTTGCTCGTGGTATCAGCTTCGAGGCAGCCAAGTTTCCGAGTTGGTCCATTGCCTGTTCGGCGACGTCGATCACATCGATTGGCGACAATTGATCGTTTACGCGATGGAACTTCCTTGGCCGAGCCAGCAAGATCTGTTGATCGCCAGAGATCGGTTCCGTGCTCAGGATCCCGAGTCGAGGGAAACGGTGACTCGCGCTCAGTATCATCGGACGGCTCTGTGGTTTCTGGACCGCGCGCTAACGGACACCGAGCATCACCACGACCTTCTTCAGGACGATTTCCAATGGACCGTCGATCGGCCGGACGAGGAGGAGCCGTATCGTTCGTGTCGGGACGACGGCGATTCGATGATCTCGAAGCTCGGGAAGGGCTCGGGTTACGACGCGAGATTGCCGTCCATCTTCGAGGACGAAATGTTCAGGCGAACGTTCGCCAAAGAGCTGCTCTGTCGCATGTACGCGGTCGATCGACGCACGATCAACTACACCGCGTTGTTGTTGGTCTTTTGCAAAGACGACGATCCCAGAGAAGGTTTCGGGAAGGCGGTCACGCTGGCGCTGGGAAACAGAGTGTGCACCGACGAGGAGGAAGGCGAGAGATACGTTCAAGAAATTTACGAGCGGAAGCGTCTCGGTCTGTCTTGGCAAACGGTCTCCCGTAGCGAAGCACTCGAGGTAATCGAACATCGGGGATAAACGGCTTTTAAACCGCAACGAAAGGCGATAAAATAAAACGCGTTGCTTTCAGGTGGCGAGACGGATTCTCGATCGATTGGTCGATCGAGCGACGACGTCGCTCTCGGAGAACGAATCGGAGGACGAATCGGCAAAGGTATCTCGCGCATCGCTCGCGTCCTCGTACTTTTCGAACATCGAGTTCGAGGGCGAAGCGATCTCGTTCGTCGAATCGTCGACGAGCGCCGAACGGGACAAGGAAGCGATCGTTTACTGGCTTTCCCTGGACCTTTGCCTCGTAAGAATCGCCCTCTAAGTCGCTTTTCTTCTCCCTCTGTAGCTAACAATTGCGGCTTTCAGACGGTGCTGGCCGCGACCCTCCCCTGGCACGCGTTGCGACCGGAGATCTTCGGAAACCATAGCAATCTTCGCGATCGCTTGTCCGCCGTGTACGAGGAGTTGAGAGACGAACACTTGAACGAGCGGAAGAACGTCGCGTTGGCGCATCGACTGTTGAATCACGAGTTTATGAAGCGCTTGTTGAACAGCGTCAGCAATTTCACCGTCAAGAATATCGGGGACACGGTTAAAAAAATCTTGCGAGCCGGCGAACGAACGTAACGTTCGATCGATCGACCGACCGACCGACCGATTCGACGCTAGTAGAGAGAGGAGCGTTGAAAGGAATATATTTCAGGATATAAGAGTTTCAATAGCCTTTATTGTTTCGATACATCGCCGACGCGTGACTCGTGAAAAATTCTAACGTTCCGGGTAAATTGCGAAGATACCTCGGTTCGCGTTTTCTTTTCTTTTTTTTTTCTTTATTTTCGCCTTTCACGTTCGCTCTAGACGAAAAAAGTGAACTGGCGCGTTCGTTTCCGTCGGCGTACGCTATCGATTACTCTCGGTACAAACGCTTACGGATGTATCCTTAAACTACGCGTTTTAGTCGTTTTCCATGGAACGTTTACGATTACTGTTACGCCTTTGGCGAATAATGCTCGCCCGCGAGGAGGAAGGTCGACGTTGCTTCTTCGTTGCATCGACGAAATCAAAATAAACGTGGTTTCTTTCGACGTCTTCCGACATCCCGAGATTAAACCTGAACCCTATAAACCGAGGAAAAGTTCCCAACATCTCCAAACTTGTCGCTCGCGCTTACTTCGTATTAATGGCCTAAGATATTATCGATTATTCGATATTCGTAGTATAACGGTACAGCGTGTGTGTTTCTTAGAGTACATGAAATTACTGCTTGTTCGCGCGAAATCGCCGACTCGACGCTCTTCCGTCGGCGTTTCCTCGACGTGCGCGCGCCGAGAAATCGCGCGGCAGACCGAACGAGCGTCGATATCGTCGCGAACGACCGGAAAACGACGATTTCTTCTCGAGCGAGTGGCTGTTTCGCGAACTAAAGCGAAATATTACGGCCGAATCGTCGCGCACGTGCTCGAGATTTCTGTTCCGTCGCTGCAAGAAAAGCGAGTTATTCACAGCCCGTACGCTCACACCCTTAACGATTTAAGTATCGATTCCGAACGATCAAAGGCGACTCGGCAACGCGTTTTACCAATACGCCTGATATGTTTCCGCGTCTCGTTCACCTCGTGCTCGACTTGTACGCTTGGAAATTGTTGCCGCGCGCTCGACCCCCGGAATGTTGCTTTCGAAGCTGTCATACGGCGTGCTGAAACCGCGCTTCGATTACGCGGCCCTTCTCGCCGCGCGAACAACGATCGCGTGCACCATCGATTAAACCTTCGAAACACCCGTCTAACGCTACGTCGAATTTTCATAGGATTCGAGTCGCTCGAACACACCGCGTATCGCGTAACGCAACGTTAAACCGACTTGCGTCCGATAGTCGTCGAAACGTTATCGTTGAACGGAAATCGACCGTTAATCGAATCGGTACGAAAAAATTTGCCGTATTTCTCGCGTTATTACGCGTCGTTTCTAGTCGGACGCGGTCGGAGACCGTTCGACGTTTTCGCGCAGCGTCGATAGCAGCTTACGCGTTTATAATACGAACGAGAAAATTTCGATCGCGACGACGACGACGACGACTCTCGAAAGGTTGAAACGGTAAAATCGCGTCTCGTGACCGAAAACGATTAAAATACCAGCGTAAAGTGTATAGTAGGCGATCGATTGGAGGATATCGCCGGCGAAAGGGCGATCTCGATTTCTCGTCGATAGGATAAATCGCAATCGGAGGTCGCGCTAAGCGCGAGAATATGCGTATAAAACGTTTACGACGAGCGTCCCCGAATACTCGGGGATTATTTCCTTGGTTGGTTTCGGTTCACGTTACACGCTTAAGTACCATTTCCGTTGTATACGTTATACGATCGTCTTGGACGGTCGCGCAACCCTTCGCTACAGAAATAAACTTTTTACCGCACAATTAACCGGACTTATTATTCGACGCGTTACAAAAATAAAGTTCATCTCGTCGAGTATCATACGCGCGAGTTTACGTCAGTGAAATTCGTGATCGTTCGGTTCGCGTAACGAAAAGTCAGCGAGGTTAAGCCGAAACTGTATCGCGACGTAAAAATCTGAAAGCAAAAGTAACGTTTCCCTGTTCGATTCGCTTATCGGCGAAAGCGAAGATCCGCGGGGTTTCGCGCAACGCGATCAAGGAAGCCTCCAACTATTTTTTTATCAATTACATGTATGTACATACGCGCGCGCATCGCGGAGACCGGTCACGGGGAAAGGACTCTTCTCCGCTCCGTTTATTTCTCGCGCACACGCGGCGTTCACCTTTGGCACGTCAGCTCGTACGCTACGTTCTACCTGCACACAAACACACACTCACTCTCTCTCTCTCTAGCCTATCGTTGCGATAAAAAAATACAAGGAATAAAAATATATCACGTAACAACGTTTCTCTCGATCGTTATATACCGCGTCGATGATCGTCGGAGAAACGACTCGTCTCGTTCGCGTTTATCTTGCCCCGTTGTTGACCGATCGGGCATTCGAGGTCTCTTTCTCGAGAAGCGATTGGAAAGGTGCGAGTTTAGTTATCGAACGGCGTCGATGGAACGCGATTAATTCCGTTGGTACGCCGTGGTAGATCGAGCGAACGAATCGATTCGCCGCTCGGTTCCGGAGCGGCGCGCGTGCCGATCGGACGATCGACTTCTACGTGTCGTTATCCGATCCAGGATAGCCATCAGCTGGGCTGTGGAGGCGTTAACTTTACCAACAACCACGTGTACAATTTCGGCTTTTGCTTGTCGACCAGCTCGTATTGGAGATTGCTCAGTCCGTCCGTGGTAAATCTCTTCTTTCCCGTCTTCAGGTACTCGTACCTGTAAATTAAACGAGATGCTCGGTTACCAGCCACTTTCCGCATCGCTACCTTTTTAGGCAGTTCTCACCTCTTTGGATTAGCCTTTTCCTTCTTGTGCGTGAGCATCTTGTAGCGCGCCACGTTGGCGGGATACCGCGATATATGAAGCCCGTGCGCTTTGATACGGTTCGCCATATCGTCGTCTTCGCCGCCCCAACCCCAATACACGTTACTGAACCCGTTCACCAGACGAAAGTGGTCGCGCGACATCGCCGACACGCCGCCGAACAAATCGGCGTACGGTAGCCTACGGTAGCAAAATACACGCGGCGTTAATCGAACTCTCGAGAGAAAACTATCCGCTTTCTCGCGATACCTGTATTTGAACTTGTCCACCGCGACCGACATGTGCCTCGGTTGCTCCGGACACGTGTACAGATTTCTATCGTCCTCCGGAAGCAGGTCAACGTCGTGAAAAATGAAGCAGTCGAAAGGCCGTTCCTTCAAGGCTTCCACGTATCCCACGTTCATCAACATCGCGCGATTAAAGGCTTCGCTGCCTGAAACATCGATAAAACGTTTCCGTTCGTACACGAAATTCGAACGTAGATCAGATTCCGAGCTCGTCGCTGATACAATAGGTTATACGCAGGAATATATGTCGATACCGCTCGTAACCGAAGCGGACGCGTAAAAGCGGCAAATTCGTTCGCGATCCGGATATACGTGCCTTACCTTTTTGTTCGACTATGAATATTTGATAGTCGATCTGCTGACGCAGCAACATCGGGTGAAGGTTGTAGAGCAACGCCTGAAGATGCTGCGGTCGATCTCGAAACGGAACGATAATGGCAACGCGATACCTCGCGAGGCAATCGCTCGGGTAACCTCTGCCGCCCGGTTTCACCTCGGAGAACTGCTTTTCCATCTGCGACATTTCCGGCGGTGACTTGCTAACCGCCAGGATCCAGGATAGCCATCAGCTGGGCTGTGGAGGCGTTAACTTTACCAACAACCACGTGTACAATTTCGGCTTTTGCTTGTCGACCAGCTCGTATTGGAGATTGCTCAGTCCGTCCGTGGTAAATCTCTTCTTTCCCGTCTTCAGGTACTCGTACCTGTAAATTAAACGAGATGCTCGGTTACCAGCCACTTTCCGCATCGCTACCTTTTTAGGCAGTTCTCACCTCTTTGGATTAGCCTTTTCCTTCTTGTGCGTGAGCATCTTGTAGCGCGCCACGTTGGCGGGATACCGCGATATATGAAGCCCGTGCGCTTTGATACGGTTCGCCATATCGTCGTCTTCGCCGCCCCAACCCCAATACACGTTACTGAACCCGTTCACCAGACGAAAGTGGTCGCGCGACATCGCCGACACGCCGCCGAACAAATCGGCGTACGGTAGCCTACGGTAGCAAAATACACGCGGCGTTAATCGAACTCTCGAGAGAAAACTATCCGCTTTCTCGCGATACCTGTATTTGAACTTGTCCACCGCGACCGACATGTGCCTCGGTTGCTCCGGACACGTGTACAGATTTCTATCGTCCTCCGGAAGCAGGTCAACGTCGTGAAAAATGAAGCAGTCGAAAGGCCGTTCCTTCAAGGCTTCCACGTATCCCACGTTCATCAACATCGCGCGATTAAAGGCTTCGCTGCCTGAAACATCGATAAAACGTTTCCGTTCGTACACGAAATTCGAACGTAGATCAGATTCCGAGCTCGTCGCTGATACAATAGGTTATACGCAGGAATATATGTCGATACCGCTCGTAACCGAAGCGGACGCGTAAAAGCGGCAAATTCGTTCGCGATCCGGATATACGTGCCTTACCTTTTTGTTCGACTATGAATATTTGATAGTCGATCTGCTGACGCAGCAACATCGGGTGAAGGTTGTAGAGCAACGCCTGAAGATGCTGCGGTCGATCTCGAAACGGAACGATAATGGCAACGCGATACCTCGCGAGGCAATCGCTCGGGTAACCTCTGCCGCCCGGTTTCACCTCGGAGAACTGCTTTTCCATCTGCGACATTTCCGGCGGTGACTTGCTAACCGCCAGCGGTCCAACTGCGAATCATCGAGATCGGTCCGACGTGTATGTACTCGTTTGGCCGAGGAACGCGTATCGAAAGAGAGAAAAAAGTGTCGGAGGGTCGCGCGGACTTACCCAGATTCGGAGGAATGAGCGGGCATTGTTGCATCGCGGTGCCGTTCGTCGAATTCGCGGTCGAGGATTCTAGCGAGCTTCCAACGATGTACGCGTTTCGAGTGGGAAAACCGGTGTCCAGTTTCGAGACGTTGTTGGAATTAGCTTTGCCAGCCCATAAGAAAGTCGAGGCAGTCGCATTACTGCTAGCGGGTATGCTCGATACCGTAACGGGGCCGTAAATGATCAGTCCACGAGGATGGTGCCTGTACGTACGATCCGCGTACCTACGGGCAAACATCGATCGAAATTTATCGCGTTCCAACTTCGAACACGACCACCGCCCCTCCGAAACAGGTGCTATCTTTAGCGATCGTCCTACGATCCGATTTAGTCTCGGTTGCGTCCGTTTCGGCGCGAACCTTCTATCGCGGTTTCGTTCTAATTAAAGACGCGTCACACTCGGCTGATCGAAGTTCGTTTCTAGTGTCGTTCTTCGTTCCGTCCGCGAATTACGTCCGTCCAATTACGAACACCTATCGACCACGCGAAATCGAGTGTCGAGCATCGATTAATATCGTGTTCGGACGATTCGCGCTGTTCCGCTACGATCGCCCAACCGATCTATCTAATCTAATAGAGTCTAATCGTTTCGCTAATTTCTCGACTAAAAACCGACTGATCGATGATCGGGCCGAATCGCGGGATCTTACTCGTTAACGTTCGTACAGCGCGTCGAAAAAATAATAACTTCCAGTTTAAACTCGTTACCGCGGCAACAAAAGATTACACGATTACAGAAACGGACCACTAAGAACGACTACCACGTACATCGGCGAGTTTCGTACGTTGCACGGAAATCTTTTTAGACGGCGTTCGTCGAGAGATTAGCACCAACGGATATCTTTATGCATATGCATGTTCGTTGTTCGTACACCTGTGCTCGTCACGAAACGCTCGATAATTCTGCTCCCGAAGCGATACTAGCGGTACGTTGCTTCTCAAAAGCGTAAATCCACTGCCGGTAATTTCGTATGGTATGTTTGGACGTTGCGATATTATTTTACATATACTCGCGTTTAATTTAAAGAGCGCGGACATTTATCGTAATTTCGCGTTTACGTGCAAACGAATCGGCGAATATTATTTAGGAGATGATTTCGACGCGATGGAAGATATTTTTCACTTTTTAATCTTATCCCTGGCGACCCGATTGTCCAATAGCTTGCGCGTTTCTTCGCGGTAAAGCGAAAAATAAAGTATAAATACTTGGTTCGTGCGCGGACAGTTCGAAATCGTACTCGACTATCGATTCGATAGAAGAAGGGGCGTCTCTCGATGATACGTCGCGTCGTATCGTAGCTGACCGGTTGCGATCGCGCGAAGGATGACCGCGACGGACCAGCGTCGCGCACGAGTACCGTTAAAAGGCTCGATTTATACGAAGTACGATGCTTCGGCTCGACGATTTATAACCGCGACGTTCCCGTCCGGAGCTTTTTCTTCGCTTCGGTTTTCGTTAGCCCGCTAGTTCCGCGCGAAAAGAACAGATTAAAGCTTTTCTTCGAGGACAATCCACGTTTCAGGCTTGTCTCCTCGGTTTCCGCGAGCTTCTTCTTTTACCCCGTTATTTATCGCGTAATTGCTCGAAATTCGTCCGGTGTTTCGCGGACGAGAAACCTGCAAATTCAATTTCTAATCCTTCGAGCGAACGATTCGTTGCGAGTTAAAGAATCGTGTCGGCGAAATCGGGGCAAACGAGAGACGTACCTGGTAGCGTTAATCGTGAAAATGGTCTCGATGGATCGACGATCGATAACGCCGCTAAGTAAATACTGAATGGCAATCAGGGCGAGGACGACGCAGACGATCGCCTTGTAAAAGTGGGCACGATGCCACGGTGCCACGGCTGCGGCCGCAGTCATCGCATTTGCGAGACACCATAACTCCTTCGTATCGCCGTTAGAAGAGCGCCGTACTGGACGAGGCGCTCCCTGCAGGCTGACGTCGTTGTCGTAGCCGTTATCCTCGTCGTTGTCGTGCTCTCTCCGTCTGTACGCTTTCCGCTCCTGACGCTTCTATACCTCCGGGACCAAGAGTTATTTCTCCTTCCTTAGAACCGGTCGATCGGTAACGGGAAATCGCGCACCGAAACCCGAGAGAACAGCGCCAACGAGCGAACCAAGAAAATACCGCCGGAGGCTTCTCGCTTCCGGTCACCAGACGCATTACCTTCTGCTGGCTACGCTGCGCTCACCTTTGCTATCCTAAAACGAATAAAAAACACAGTCGTGAAATTCGCGCGTTTCTCTTTATTCGGTTCTCGGCTCGACATCAAAGTTACCGCGTCTCCGGTGCTCTTTTCGATCTTTCTTCGTCTCTAAAATAATTACATTCGTTTCTTTGCCGATTCTCGGATACCGGTATGGACGACAGAAAAAATTCTGGCTTTTCAATTATGTCATTCAACGAAACGGAACGTCGGAACTGAACTTGAAACAAAGTATCCTGTAGAAAACGCGACGAGTGGTCGAAGGAGAGATTAGATAAAGCATCCGCTTTTTCAACGTTGCGGGCATGGAAATTTCGGAAATCTCTGACGAACGATGATAACGCGTAATCAGTAGATGAAACGAAGCTCGAAAGCTGAAACGGGCCCAGTGAAAGGCTCTCGTGTACAACGCGCGTGCAGGGTGGCTCGCAAATAGGGACGACGCGTTCTTTTCGTCGTCGAACGATTCGTTTAATTCCTGGTCAGATATTACGTTCGACCGATTCGGTTCTAACCCGTACGATTCGATCGTACGGCAAAGTGGCTCCTCTTTTCGGCATTGTACAAAATACAAAAAATCGATCGTATATTTGTAACGTTTTTACCGGATAAACGGATCGGCGCGATTAACGTGGTCGCGCACGCGCGTGGAAAGGGCTCGCATCGGAGCTCGTGTAATTTACCGTAAAATCTACGATCGTGATGGTTATCGCGTCACTGTCGCGTCGAGTATCCGCGACGATCGCCTAATCGTTTCGCAGCGTTTCGTCTATTCGCTGGAATTCCGCCGTTCTTTCTGTTCGCGTGTCAGAGCCAAATTAGATTACGTTTATCCAATTGATACGGATTTTATCGGAACCGCTCCTGACGCTTCTATACCTCCGGGACCAAGAGTTATTTCTCCTTCCTTAGAACCGGTCGATCGGTAACGGGAAATCGCGCACCGAAACCCGAGAGAACAGCGCCAACGAGCGAACCAAGAAAATACCGCCGGAGGCTTCTCGCTTCCGGTCACCAGACGCATTACCTTCTGCTGGCTACGCTGCGCTCACCTTTGCTATCCTAAAACGAATAAAAAACACAGTCGTGAAATTCGCGCGTTTCTCTTTATTCGGTTCTCGGCTCGACATCAAAGTTACCGCGTCTCCGGTGCTCTTTTCGATCTTTCTTCGTCTCTAAAATAATTACATTCGTTTCTTTGCCGATTCTCGGATACCGGTATGGACGACAGAAAAAATTCTGGCTTTTCAATTATGTCATTCAACGAAACGGAACGTCGGAACTGAACTTGAAACAAAGTATCCTGTAGAAAACGCGACGAGTGGTCGAAGGAGAGATTAGATAAAGCATCCGCTTTTTCAACGTTGCGGGCATGGAAATTTCGGAAATCTCTGACGAACGATGATAACGCGTAATCAGTAGATGAAACGAAGCTCGAAAGCTGAAACGGGCCCAGTGAAAGGCTCTCGTGTACAACGCGCGTGCAGGGTGGCTCGCAAATAGGGACGACGCGTTCTTTTCGTCGTCGAACGATTCGTTTAATTCCTGGTCAGATATTACGTTCGACCGATTCGGTTCTAACCCGTACGATTCGATCGTACGGCAAAGTGGCTCCTCTTTTCGGCATTGTACAAAATACAAAAAATCGATCGTATATTTGTAACGTTTTTACCGGATAAACGGATCGGCGCGATTAACGTGGTCGCGCACGCGCGTGGAAAGGGCTCGCATCGGAGCTCGTGTAATTTACCGTAAAATCTACGATCGTGATGGTTATCGCGTCACTGTCGCGTCGAGTATCCGCGACGATCGCCTAATCGTTTCGCAGCGTTTCGTCTATTCGCTGGAATTCCGCCGTTCTTTCTGTTCGCGTGTCAGAGCCAAATTAGATTACGTTTATCCAATTGATACGGATTTTATCGGAATACGTTGCTTTTAACGATGTTTTCAAAGGTCTGATTCGTTTATAGGTCTACGCGCGATCTTTCGATACGTTTCGAATTTTCCTTCGTATACGATCCGGATTATATCAATTAGTAAGAATAATAATAATTCCAGCGAATCGAACGCGAAATTTTCGATACGAAAATTTGATTGGCATACGATGATCGCGCATCGAGAAAACGAAAGCGATAACGATGTCTGGATTTCCGGGTACGCGAGAGAGCAACACGCGTTCGTTTCGAGCGTTGAAAGAAGGCTCTCCGTGTTTCGACATCGTCGGCCTTCGCGGCGTTCGTCGGATCGGAATTGTCGAGAAAACGCGCGAGCACCCGCGAGCACTGCAGTTCGCGCGAACCGTTGCGTCACCGCGAAATTCTTCTCGAAAACGTATTCGGTATTTTCTCGCTGGCGCTGAATAATTTCCAGCGCGTGGCCGCTGCTATCGATTTTCTCGTCGCTGCACGGATTGCGTCGCGTGGCCGGAATACTCGAAGAAAAGAAGAGGATGTCGCGAACTCTTCCGAAGAAAACTCTTAGATAGAACGTTGCGTCGCGGTCTTTCGTCGCCACGTTCGCGCGTCTCGAGCGCGCGCGCGCAACAAACAAAGCGTAGAGAAAATTTTCGGTATCGTTATTATCCGTTTCCGTTGGCCGGAATCTTCCGAATTCTGGCTACGTTCGTCCGATTTGCGTCGCAATGCAGCAAACAGGAGCTTCGATTTCGGACTCGAAAGAGAACTTTAATTCCGGCTCGTTTGCCAGCATCGCGTCAACGAGCGGCAAATCTGTCAAGGTCTTTCGAAGCTCTGCTCCTTCTTCTTTTTCCGATCTTTTTACATCTCGCGCCACTCTTTATCTCGGACGCGTCGCGAATAAATTACGGTTACGATTCAAAGACGAAACGTTGCTTAAAACGCGATTCCACTGAAACTTCCTATTCGAGCGTTCGTATCCGAGTTACGTTTACTATCCTGTTAGCAGCAGCCATCGCGTTATTCGTCAATCGGGCAAGCTTCTTCGTTCTAGGGAAACGTGACTCGAATTTCAAATCGATCGATCGAATTCGCGATCGTCGAATCGTTTTCGGTACGGTAGCGATCGCGTTCGCCGCTAAACGATACGCGAAGCAACGCGTAGCTGCTCGAAAACGTAATTTTTCTCTTCCTTATATTCGTGACCTAAATCTCGATTCGTAGCCACCGAGCGGATCGTATTCGTGTTGTTCTCGGTAGACTGACGCGACAACTGAAAACGGACCGTTCGCTAAACTCGATAACCCGATAAACATATTCGGATCGATGCGGCGTTTCAAGGGTTTCCATCTTTTTCCCGAGATTCGTTTCGTCTCGGGATCTCGCTGGACGCTCGACGTTTGACGCTCGTCGCTCGAGAGAGTTTCAAAGGACAAACCTAAAGAGCGTTCGGTGGACCGCGCGCGCTGAACGAGACCTACCGATACCGTACATATATGTACGCGTTCTCATCGACGCAAAAGGGAAACGCTGTCGTTTCGCATTGCTTTCCACCGGTTCGTACTCGAGGTTCGAGAACTTGGAAATAAATACGAATCGAACTATACGTATTTTTTAGCTTTCGTAAATGCACAGTTAAGCAGAAAACCACCGATAGCGATAAGATTTAATTACTAAAGAGAAGAAATAAGTGTCCTACGTCCGGTAATATCGTGGTCGCATAGGTCTTTGAAACGTGGCAAATCGAATTACGCTCTCGACGCCGAGTCGAAAGCCGCGGAAGGGCAAATTCGTGGATCGCTCGCGCGAACCTTTGAATATCTTTTTAACCCGTTTAAGGTTCGCGAACTCGGTATTTGTCCCGGTGGAGCTCGTTAGTGTCTCCGCGCACGGCGTCGTAGCGACGATACGGGATTAAACGAGCTTCTGGTGCTCGGTAGGTTGGTTCGCGTCTGCACGTAACTACGAGAGCACGTTCATCGCCGACTACGGATGAATAAATTGCGGTTGCTTCCCCGGGAACATTCTGCCATCGCGGCGGCTGTTCCGCCTCTTTCCCGTCGGCATTCGTTTTTACCCTATTCGCTTTTTAACTCTAAACAGCAAATATCGTGCCGCCCTGGACATAATTCCCTTCGTTACATCGGCAACGTTTTCAGATACCGTTTAAAGGCGCTTCGATCGTTCACCTTCGAAGCTGAATGTACCCGTTCTTTGCTCCGTTTGTCTTTCGCGGAAACTGGCCTCGGGCTATATCGACCGTGGCTTTTGGCCGATTATCGGACGCTCGGGAATCGATAATCGATAATCGATAATCGATAATCGGCAAGCAAACGGTATTTTTCGAACAGCCGATAATTTTTGTTATCGAGGGAAACGATTCGAATCGAATTCGAGATTCGCGACGATCGTTTCTTTACGGATTGTCTCGTTATGGAAATTTCGATCCACGCTTTTTCCCTGTTCGAAGATAAACGAGCAACTTTCCCGCAGTATTTATGGAAATATTCTTCTTCTTGGAGAATATAATTCTTCTTCGGGAAGAAACGGTCTAACGAACCTTGAAATTTCAAACATACAACGTTGCGGATCCAGTTTATTTCTCTTTTCCGCCGGGCTTGTAACAGGATTTTACGGTTAGCGCGTGATTTTTTTCACCCATTTTCTTTCATTTCTCTTTCTTGACGTTTCGCGCGTGTGCAACGTATCGCGCGGAATGAATCATTCATGAGCTCGTATAAACAAATAAGCTGGATCGTGCATCCGGCCAATTCGAAATGCAAAAATGTACCATCGCGTTTCTTCTCTTTTTTTAAACAGAGCGTCATCGTATGCTTACGAGACGTTTTCCCGATCCCCGAAGTCTACGTACGTACCTCGCGGCTCGACCCGCGAGATTCGATTAAACCTACCGAGCACGAGACAAAGGACGTAATTTTGATACGCAAAGTCCGCGAACGCGATATTTCGTTTAATTTCCCTTCGAAAGACCTCGTCGTTCGCGTCTGTCGACGCGGTAACTCGCGATGCTCGAAGCGGAAACTTCCAACGTTTTAACGAACGAAATTTCCAGAATATTCCAGCATCCGAGAAAACGCGCACCGTATCGGAGAGGAAAATCGATCGTTTCGTTCCGCGTAACGTTAGACGTCACTTCGTTCGGAAAAATACAATGCAAACGATTAACGCGACCGAAACGAGTATATCTTCGATGTTTCTGCTTGGATCGCGTCAAAACGCGAATAAATTGTGATCCGCTGTTCGATGTTCGTCGACTTTCGAGAAAGCGAGAAACGGACAAGACCGAGAAGAAAGCAGAGAAACGAAGACGAAGAGGACGAAAGAGGAAAGGTGGATGCAGCGGTTGCGAAACGAGAGGATCGATAGCCATCGTCATGGCGACCATAGCATCAACTAGTCTTTTCTCTGTCCTTCCTTCTCCGCGCGTTTCCCATCGGCTTCTCGAATCGTCGAAAATTCCGAACGATTCGAGAATCGATAAGAATCGATGGTCAACAACAACATCGAATAAAGTCGTTTCGAACGCTTCGCTGGCCCGTTAGATAAACCAGCTAGAGTTACGATAAACCGAGTAATTTAAAAGCACGAAGCACCGGTGAACTGCGCAAAGTTTACGAGACGTTCAATTCGGCTGGAACGGTAAAGAGAAAAGAGACGCGTGGTTTTAATTAAACGTCTTGGAAGATGCGTCCAAGTTATTCATGTTGGATAACTATCGTAGCCACGAATACCGTTAACGGAACGCGCTGTTTCCATACTGTACGGTCCACGGTCCAGCAACGCCGTCCACTTGGACTATTTCGACGAACAAGATCTCGAGGTAGCTAGAAACTCGCGGTCTAGGAGTAAGCACCGCGACGTCGCGTCGTGCCGATAGATATCGCGTTTAAAAGTTCGAACGATTAATTTCGAAATGAAAACTAGGCGGGAGAAAATTTGGCGAGCACACGCGAGAAAAACGGAGAAAAGAAGAAAGAGCACTGGCTTGGAACGTTCCCAACCCGGAGTTGGTTCGCTCGAATCGCCTACGAGGCAACTAGGTATACGTATAGCGTTATATAGCGTCTTTCAAACGCGGTCGAGACCTCTTTAAATTCATGAGGAGAGAAGAATGTAGTTGAAGAA